ATGATATCCTTCTCCAGGGACTGGTCCCTCCTGATTGCATGTCCAAAATACATGAGACAAATGTATGCTTCCAAGGAGCATTCTTGCTGTATTTCTTCCAAGACAGACTTGTTTGTTCTTCTGGCAGTCCATGGTATATTCCATATTCTTCACCAACACCATAATTTAAGAGCATCAATTCTTCTTTGGTTTTCCTTATTCATTGTCCAGCTTTCGCGTACATATGTGGTGATGGAAAATACCATGGCGTGGGTCAGACGAACCTTAGTCCTCAAAGTGATATCTCTGCTTTTTAACACTTTAAAGATGTCTTTTGCAGCACATTTGCCCAATGCAATAAATCATTTGATTTCTTGACTGTTGCTTCCATGAGCATTGATTGTGGATCCAAGTAAAATGAAATCCTTGACAATATCATTCTTTTCTATATTTATCATGATGTTGCTTATGAGTCCAGTTGTGAGGATTTTTGTTTTCTTTATGTTGAGGTATAATCCATATTGAAGGCTACAGTCTTCGATCTTCATTAGTAGATGCTTCAAATCTTTTTCTCTTTCAGCAAGTAAGGTGGTGTCATATGCATATCACAGGTTGTTAATGAGTCTTTCACCAATCCTGATGCCACATTCTTCTCCGTATAGTCCAGCTTCTCAGATTATTTGCTCAGCATATAGATTGAATAAACATGGTGAAAGGATACAACCCTGACACACACCCTTTCTTGGTTTTAAACCTTGCAGTATCCCCTTGCTCTGTTCAAACAACTGCCTTTTGGTCTGTGTGCAGGTCCTCCATGAGCACAGTGAAGTGTTCTGGAATTCCCATTCTTCACAATGTTATCCATAACTTGTTATGATCCACACAGTCAAATGCCTTTGCATAGTCTATAAAACACAAGTAAACATCTTTCTGGCATTCTCTGCTTTTAGCCAAGATCCATCTGACATGACCAGTGATAACCTTGGTTCCACATCCTCTTCTGAATCCAGCTTGAATTTCTGGCAGTTCCCGTGTAGATGTACTGCTACAACTGCTTTTGAATGATCTTCAGCAAAATTTTACATGTGTGTGATATTAATGATATTATTTGATAATTTACACATTCTGTTGGATCACCTTTCTTTGGAATGGGCACACATATGGATCTCTTCTAGCTGATTGGCCAGGTAGCTGTCTTCCAAATTTCTTGGCATAGGTGAGTGACCACTTCCAGAGCTGCATCTGTTAAAACATCTCAATTATATTCCATCAATTCTTGGATCCTTGTTTTTCGCTAACGCTCTCAGTTCATCTTGGACTTCTTCCTTCAGTACCATAGGTTCTTGATCATATGCTACCTCCTGAAGTGGTTGAATGTCGACCAATTCTTTTTGGTACAGTGCCTCTGTGTATTCCTTCCGTCTTCTTTAGGTGCTTCCTGCCCATTAAAAAAAAAACAAAAAAACCCTTGCCGTCGAGTCGATTCCAACTCATAGCGACCCTATAGGACAGAGTAGAATTGCCCCAGAGGATTTCCAAAGGGTGCCTGGTGGATTCGAACTGCTGACTTTTTGATTAGCAGCCATAGCTCTTAACCACTACACCAGCAGGGTTACCGTTTTGCCCATAGAATCCTTTAAAATTGCAACTCGAGGCTTGAATTTTTTCTTCAGCTTTTTCAGCTTGGGAAATGCCAATTGTGTTATTCCGTTTTGGTTTTCTAACTCCAGGTCTTTGCACATCTCATTATAATATTTCACTTTGTCTTCTCAAGCAGCCCTTTGAAATCTTCTGTTCAGCTCTTTTACTTCTTAATTTCTTCCATTAGCTTTAGCTACTTGACGTTCAAGATCAAGTTTCATAGTCTCTTCTGATATCCATTTTGGTCTTTTTTTCCCCTTTCCTGTCTTTTTAATGACCTTTTGCTTTCTTCATGTATGATATCCTTGATGTCATCCCACAACTTGTCTGGTCTTCAGTCATTAGTATTCAATGCGTCAAATCTATTATTGAGATGGTCTCCAAATTTAGGTGGGATATACATAAGGTCATATTTTGGCCCTCGTGGACTTTTCCTCAGCTTCAACTTGAACTTGCATATGAACAGTCGATGGTCTGTTCCACAGTCAGCCCCTGGCCTTGTTCTGACTAATGATACTGAGTTTTTCCATTATCTCTTTCACAGATGTAATAGATTAGATTCCTGCGTATTCTGTCTGATGAGGTCCACGTGTATAGTCTCCATTTATGTTTTTGAAAAAAGGTATTTGCAATGAAGAATTCATTGATCTTGCAGAATTCTGCGATCTCTGGCGTCATTTCTATCACCAAGGCCATATTTTCCAACTACCGATCTTCTTCTTTGTTTCCAACTTTCACATTCCAATCACCAGTAATTATCAACGCATCTTGATTGCATGTTTGATCAATTTCAGACTTCAGAAGTTGGTGGAAATCTTCAATTGCCTCATCTTTGGCATTAGCAGTTGTTGCATAAATTTGAATAATGGTTATGTTAACTGGTCTTCCTGGTAGGCGTACGGATATTATCCTATCACCGACAGAGTTGTATTTCAGGATAGATCTTGAAATGTTCTTTTTGACGATGAATGCAATGCCATCCTCTTCAATTTGTCATTCCCGGCATAGTAGACCATATGATTGTCTGATTCAAAATAGCCAATACCAGTCCATTTCAGCTCACTAATGCCTAGGATATCCATCTTTATGCATTCCATTGCATAAGGGCCTAGTATCCAGAACATATAAAGAGTTCCTACAACTCAATAACAAAAAGACAAATAACCAAATTAAAAAATGGGCAAAGGATTGGAATAGAACATTTCTTTAGAGGATATACAAATGACCAACAAGCACATGAAAAGATTTTTGACAACATTAACCATTAAAGGAATGCAAATTTAGATGGCTATAATAAAAAAGACGACAGTAACAAGTGTTAGCAGGGATTTGGAGAAAGTGGAACCCTCATATATTGCTGGTGGGAAAGTAAAATGGTGCAGCCACTATGGAAAACAGTGTGGCAGTTCCTCAAAAAGTTAAACATAGAGTTATATGACCCAATTCCTAGCAATTCCATTCCTAGGTATATACCCAAGAGAAATGAAAATGTATATCCACACAAAATTTGTGCATAGATGCTTATAGCAGCACTATTTATAGTAGCAAAACTGTGAAAACAACCCAGCTGTCCATCAACTCATTAATGGATATGCAATGGAATATTATTCAATCATAAAAAAAGTATGAAGTATTGATACATGCTATGACATGAATGAACCTTTAGAACATTACACTAAGTGAAAGAAGCCAGACACTAAAGGCCACATATTTTATGTCTCTGTTTATCTGAGATGTCCAGAATAGGCAAATCTATCAAGATGGAAAGTAGATTAGTGGTTGCCAGGGGTTAGGAGGTGAGGGTAATGGGCAGTGATCGCTAATGGTACAGGGTTTATTTTTTGGATGGTGAAAATGTTCCGAAATTAGATAGTGGTGATGGTTGCACACATTGTGAATGTACTAAAAACCACTGAATTGTACACTTTAAAGGGTGAATTTATAATATGTGGATTATATCTCAATTTTAAAACGGCCTGTCTGATCCGGAAGTCATTACACAAAAGATACTACTTAAGGACGGTGTTAGAGCAGTGAAGACAAATAAGAGCTTCTGAGAGCATTTGTCCTATGGCTTTTGACCCTCTTGGAGATACTTCTTGCCCAAGAACATAAACCAGATATTTGCAGCTAATGTCACAAAACAATATGTACATAAATTTTTGTATGAGAAATTAAAAAATAAATAAATAAAAATAAACCAAATATTTTGAATAGGGCTAAGTGTCTTCACCTCAGTCAAAATATCTGAAATAAGAGGACACAGGACAGTTACTTAGAAGAGATACTCAGGTAAGTAGGTAAAATGTGAGGACACAAGAGAAATTATACCTTGATCATTCAGTTGTCTCCGTATCATGTAGTCCTTCCCAAACCTTAAATCTTTCCTTGAGTAATGCTTTCTTCCAGGAAGCACTAAGTTTGTGGCTAGGATCTATGGATAATCTTTTGCCCAAAAGGATATTCCAAGTCCCTCAAATTGAACAAGAAATTTTTTGTTTAAATTCTCTCTGTCTGTTACCCATCCAGGTGTTACCTCCAAACACAGGCTGTCTTTATATTGATAGAGATTGTTCAGCTATATATTGCCATGAATCAAGCAGTGATATATACCATCCCTTCCAAAAGCGTGAGCAACTGAGAGCTAGCAGGTACATCATGAAGCACACGTCAGAGATTATCTGTGAGGTCATGGATCCCGAGGGAAACACTTTCCAGGTAAAGTGAATTTTTAGTATGAAGAGAGACCCTGTGGCTTTGTTTCTGAAATATTTCACTCCAGGCAGCTTCCATGTGGCTTTTTACTTTAGTTCCCTTGGGACTGGTCATTCGCTTACTGCCAATACATTGGGCAAACTGTAATGAATGTCAATTTCTTTGATTTTCAAGTGTACTTCCATGGAGGAGGGTAAGCCCATCAGTTGGGATGGTAGAAATGCTAAAGCCAAATAAATCATCAGAACAGAAAGGAATAAACATTAGCAAACATCTTAAAATAATGCCAACAAAAAGGAATTATTTAAGAATGGTCTGTACCAGGCTGAAGTGAGAGCAGATACATGGGGCAACAGACAAGGTTGTCTGACCAGGCAGAATCCATGGTTAGAAGTATCAATTAGTGAGGATTCAGATTGGGTTGGATTGGGGAGGTGGAAAGCCTGAAGAGGTGCTCAGCTATTCTGTGCTAGAGCTTTATTTATCTTCTGTTTTGTCCTTCTGCACCATGACTATCCCCTTACCTCTAGGCCACCAACCAGTTGCCGGTGAGTTCATTTTGACTCATGGCCACCCCATATGTGTCAGAGCAGAACTGTGCTGCATACAGTTTTCAATGGCTGATTTTTCAGAATTAGATCACTAAATCTTTCTTCTGAGGTATCTCTGGGTGGACTTGAACCTCTAGCCTTTTGGTTAGCAGCTGAGCACATTAACCATTTGCACCACCCAGGAACTCCACTTCTAGGCCAGGCATTGGCAAATCACATCCCTGTGGGCCACTTGTTTTTTGTACAGTCTGTTACATTTTTAAATAGCGGGGGAAAGAATCAGAAAAAGAATATTGCATGACATAAAAATTATATGAAATTCAAATTTCAGTGTCATTACATAAAGTTTTATTGGAACACAACCATGCTCATTTGTTTACATATCGCCTATGGCTGCTTTTGCATGATAATGGCAGAGTTGAGTAGTTGCAACAGACTTATGACCAGCAAACCCTTATTTTTTCTTTGTTAAATAAATGAGACTTTTCACAGCATAAGGTCAGCTGCTAACAAATTTTAATTTACAATGAATTTGAAGTAGAAACTTAAAGCCCAAAACCCTGTATGTTGAAATGTCTGGGTTGTCCAATCCAAGGGTTGTCCCACGCTTTGTTCCTCCTCTTGAACATTCCTCCACTGGTTTTTAGCCTGAGCCACACTGCTTTCTGAGGAGACCCACGGTATATCTGGACAGCTCTGATGGCTACAACATTTTTTTCTCATATCGTTAGTAAATCTGTTTCTGTATGTCTTCTACCTATGAGTCCTAACTCTGCCCTTGGAATCACAGAGTGTAAGCCTCTTTCATGTGGTTGTCTTTTAAATATTGTAAGACATGGTACAAATGGTACAAATCGGAAAAAGAAGAATATTGCATGACATAAAAATTAGCACTCAACTACTAGCTGAAATGTTGGTAGTTCGAACCCACCCGAAGGTGCCTTGGAAGTCAAGCCTAGTGATCTGCTTCTGAAAGATAACAGCCTTTAAACCCTGTGGAGCAGTTCTACTCTGCACATGGGATATCTCCATGAGTCAGAGTCAACTCCAGGGCAACTAACAACACAATCATGACTAAGGCCAGTGAGTAGAATTCTTGCAGGAGATCCAGGCTCTATTCCTAGCTATTACACCTCATGTGCAGCCACCACTCATCTGTCAGTGGAGGCTTAAGTGTTACTGTAATGGTGAACAGGTTGCAGCGGAGCTTCCAGACTAATACAGATTAGAAAGAAAGACTTGGTGATCTATTCTAAAAATCAGCCAATGAAAACCCTGTGGATCACAGTGATTCAATCCTTCAATCCCGTTATACCTGGGGTCACCATGAGTTGGAGGCCAACTCGAAGGCAGCTAACAACGACATCATATGAATATCCTCTCCTTTATGTTTAAATTCCAATTATTTCAAATAATCCTCAGAGGATATGGTTTTGAGTTCCCGCCCCAGCTGAGCGAGTCACCTTCCTCTGCCTCTAAATATATTATGGTTTGTTTATCAGTTTGTTTTCACATTCTAGGTGTGGATTGTAAGTAGAGATATGCTACTTACCAAGTTTTCACTTTTCTTAATGCAATGTATATTTAGTGAAAAATGCCTTGCAAGTAAACATCTCTGATTTTCTGAGAAAGATCGTCTGCTTTCTCAAACTGGACCAGCAGATATGTAAGCTTTATGGCATTTTTTTTCTTTTTCTTTTCGCTGCTTATATACTTTGTCCATTACTTTGTCCCTTAGGTCATGGCTAATGGTAGAGCATCAACTATGTTACCTGAACAAAAATTTGAAGAGGATGTAAGTTCAAATACTGAGGGCTATGATAGTTTATCATCTCTTCACCTACAGAAGAATCGTCTGCAAATTTATGGTGAACATGTCCCTAGGTAAATAATAAGACCTTTTTTTTAATTGGAAGTTTAAAAAGCATTTTAACAGAATATGTAAAGTGATTACATTTTTATTCTTCAAATAGATTTTTTATTATCTATGCTGATGGATCAGGAGTGGAGCTTCTTCGAGACAGTGACATAGAAGAATATCTATCCTTGGCGTATGGAGAATCCATGACTGTAGTTCTCCAAGAGCCAGTACAGGAACAGCCAGGTAGAGAAGCCACACTACCTGAAATTCACTGTGTCCCTTCACCAATTCTCATCCCGCTTATTATCCAATCTATCGTCTTCTATACTTTTTCCCCTTTTTTCACTTTTATACTTCACTTTCCACCTATCAGGCCGTTTTGACCTATTTATGTAGTTGCTTGAATTTATGTTCATATCAAGCTATATCTGAGCATCAGCCTATATAAACTGTTTGCATTTGAGTGCCTCTCCCACCTATGAGCAGACTTGTGTCTGTGTTTTGGCATATACCTAGATGCCTATTTATGTGTTCATTTTATCTTAGTGGGAAAAAAACAAAGTGAGATATCTCTTGTAAGTTCACTGGCACTTTGAGGGTATTGCCTTGATGATATTTAATACAATAGGAAAATGCATGTGATATGTATGCTAGAATGCCAACTCGAAATAGATGATAAGTTATATAAGTTATATTCATTGGGCACCTTATGTTGTTTAATCTATTTCAGCAAAATTAGTGTGGCTGGAGGTTATAGAGACATATGGAACCATTAGTATATGTAGTAACGTGTGTATTTAAATATATATATATATATATATACAAACCTGCATGTTATCTGTGTGTAAAAAATAATGTGCCATGTCTAGGTTTATGTGAGTGCTTGTTTTTATCTTGTCTCTGTTTGATGGGATATATTTTGTATCCTTTCACTAATATGCCTGCATCTCTGGGGACTTACATCTTTTAGCATCTCAATGTGCATGCACAATATAGTATACCTCATTCTTTGTCTGTGAATATGACTCTGGCTGGCTATGCAGGGCATGTGTGGAACTGTGTGAGAATAAGAATTCATTTCAAATTGCTTTGTCAGCCAGTCATGTAACTAATATCCACTTGGCAACCCACCACGCACCAAACACTGACTGGGTGTTAGTAATACAATGGTGAACTAAGACACACATGGAGGCTGCTTTCATGAAGCTTCCAGTTTAATATGCTAAACAGGCATTAGTTAAATAGTCACACAAATAACTGTATAATTATAAATTGGGGTATGGTCTGTGAAGGAAAGGCACATGGTTCTATGAGAGTATCTAACAGAGGAACCCGATGAATTCTAGAAGGCTTCCCTGAAGACTCTTGAGCCAAGAGCTAGTAGATGAGTAGGGGGTAATTAAGGCAAGAGAGAGAACTCTCATGGAAGAGGGAATACCTATGAGGAAGCATAAAGCATTCAAAGAACAGAAAAAAGAAACGTGGTATAAAGTAGCTGAGGTGCAGAGTAGGAGAATGGTGCAAGTTGGTCAGGGGCCAGAAAATGGTAAGGATTTCTGTGTTTTCCCATAAGCAATGGGAAGTCAAAGAAGACTTTTAATCATGGACTAACATAACTGGTCATTCTGGTTTCAGTGGGAGGTTCATTCACAGAATAAATATTAATAGAAGGCTAATATTTTCTGTAATCCAAAACAGGATCTCTCTAAGATGGATGATGTTGCCTTGGTCTAGGATAGGGTCAGCAGAGAGCACAGAAGTAGATGGACTCAAGAAATGCTTGGTAGTAGAACTGATGGCCTTGGTTATGGGTAAGATGTGGTTGTTGAAGGACAGTGGGCTGTCAGTCTATACTCCTAAGTGATCTAAATCCAGCCTCCAGATGTTGTAGTGACTACAAGCCTTATCCTTCTTCTTAGATTGTAAGGTCCTTAAGCATAATCACTATGTCTCACTTACATTATTATGTAGAAGGAAGTTCTAAAAGTGTTTGTTGAACTTAATGAATACCTATTGAATTTCTCAGAGTCATTTTGATGTAAAAATAATTTTCTGATAACTCTCTTTGAACCAGGTGCCCTGAGCATCACAGTCCTTCGCCCTTTTCATGAAGCATCGCCATGGCTAATGAAGAAAGAATTAGATACAATTGTTCCTCCTAATCTCCAGTCAAGGACATGGGAGACATTTCCCCCAGTTGAGGTATACATTTTTCTGCTGAAAAGGCATTTTATTTGTATATTCACCCATCAATGGACCAGAGTCTTGGGTTTCCTCCCATATATTCATAAATTTTCATCCCTATGTAAAATTTTAATGGGTTTAAGGAGTTCTATATTTGAAAATTTTAACACTTGTAGATGTGGTGATCAAATTTTAGGGACATATACCAAACCCATTGTCACTGAGTCAATTCTGACTCATAGCAACCCTATAGGATAGAGTGGAACTGCTCCCATAGGGTTTCCAAGGAGTGGGTAGTGGATTCGAACTGCCTGCCTTCTGGTTAGCAGCCAAGCTCTTAATCACTGTGCCACCAGGGCTCCTAGTGGCATATACTGACTGTTTAATCTCAGTTTTATTTATTTTATCCTATATTACAGGCTTAAACATCTTCCTATAATATAAAATGGCCCACTCTTAGTAACCCATGTTTATTCCACCTCTCCTATCATGGAATAACTAATACAATGCAATAACAGAAATCTTCCCTTCTGTTGTTCAATTTTAGGCCTTTCACTCTCCCTTTTTTCTCTTCATATATAAAAAATACACTGTGCATTTAAGAATAATGTGAAGGATTACATACAGGAATTTGCAACTGTGATGTTAGAAAGTAAACGTTGTAATTATGTCAGACTAGAGAAACCCAACCTAAAGTTTTTGAAAGAATAAAAGAAAATATCTTGAACAAGAATCATGAAGTCCTGTATCTTGCAAGATTTGCTATTTCACTTCATAAGCAATTTATGTAATATGCCCAGCATATTTTCATATGTTAATTATTAATAAAGACATTGATAATGTAATCAGAGAGAGATACTAGGGCTAAGTGAGAAGGATGATGTTTTTGATGTATGATGATTTTTGCTACACAGTCTTCTAAGAGCAAGGGCACAAATAATAAACACTTAGATAACAAGAACTTTTCACTCCTTTATTTTAATTTGGTGGCTATGAAAAACATGGTGAGATGAAGGTGACCTGGAATTCTATTATTTATTAATAGAATTAATAATTTATTAATGTGTGCTTTGGGACAAGTCACAATGGATCTCCATTTCCTTATCTAAAAGATGAAGAGGCCACACCAAATGGCTCGCTAAGGCTATATCCAAGTTCAAAGTACTACATTATGACAAAGAATATGCCACATCTTAGATTAATAAAGAAAGTAATAAAGGAAGTTTATTCTCTTCCTCTGAAGCTTTTCATTTTTTTTAGTGTTGTGCTTTAAGTGAAAGTTTACAATTCAAGTTAGTCTCTCATACAAAAATTTATACATACATTGTTATGTGACCCTAGTTGCTCTCCCTATACTGTTACAGCACACTCCTCCTTTCCACCCTTGATTTCCTGGTCCATTCAACCATCTCCTGACCCTCTATGCCTTCTCATCTCACCTCTGGACAGGAGCTGCCCATTTAGTCTCATGTATCTACTTGAGCTAAGAAGCACACTCTTCACGAGTATCATTTTATGCCCTATAGGCCACTCTAAACTTTGTCTGCAGAGTTGGCCTCGGGAATGATTTTAGTTTGAGGCTAACAGAGAGTCTGGGGAACATGTCTTCTGGGGTCCCTCCAGTCTCAATCAAACCATTAAGTCCGGTCTTTTTGCTACAATTTGAGTTCTGCACCACACTTTTCTCCTGCTCTGTCAGGGACTGTCTGTTGTGTTCCCTGTTAGGGCGGTCATTGGTGGTAGCTGGGCACCATCTAGTTCTTTTGGTCTCAGGATGACCAAGTCTCTGGTTTATGTGACCTTTTCTGTCTCTTGGGCTAATAATTTCCTTATGTCTATAGTGTTCTTAATTCTCCTTTACTCCAGGTGGGTTGGGACCAATTGATGCATCTTAAATGGTACTCTCTAGCTTTTAAGACCCCAGATGCTACTCACCAAAGTGGGATGCAGAACATTTTCTTAATAAACTTTGCTATGCCACTTGACCTAGATGTCCCCTGAAACCATGGTCCCCAGCCCCCTGCCCCTACTACTTTGTCCCTCGAAGTGTTTGGTTGTATTCAGGACACTTCACAGCTTTCATTTAGTCCAGTTGTGCTGACCTCCCCTGTAGTACAGGCTGTCCTTCCCTTCACCTAAGATAATACTTGTCTACTACTAGTTAGTGAATACCCCTCTCCCTCGCTCCCCACCCTCGTAACCATCAAAGAATGTTTTCTTCTGTGTTTAAACCTGTTCTTGAGTTCTTATAATAGTGGTCTCATACAATATTTGTCCTTTTGCAACTGACTAAATTCACTCGGCATAATGCCTTCCAGATTCCTCCATGTTATGTTTCGCAGATTCATCGTTGTTCTTTATCATTGTGTACTATTCCATTGTGCAAATATACCATAATTTTTTTATCCATTTGTCCGTTGATGGACACCTAGGTTGTTTCCATCTTTTTGCTATCATGAACAGTGCTGCAATGAACATGGGTGTGCATATATCTATTCATGTGATGGCTCTTATTTCTCTAGGATATATTCCACGGAGCAGGATTGCTAGATCATATGGTACTTCTATTTCTAGCTTTTTAAGGAAGTGTGAAATTGATTTCCAAAGTGATTGTACCATTTTACATTCCCACCAACAGTGTTTAAAGTGTTCCAGTCTCTCCACAACCTCTCCAACATTTATTATTTTGTGTTTCTTGGATTAAGGCTAGCCTTGTTGGGGTCAGATGGTGTCTCATTGTAGCTTTGATTTGCATTTCTCTAATGGCTAATGATCGTGAGCATTTCCTCATGTGTCTATTAGCCGCCTGAATGTCTTCTTTGGCGAAGTGCCTGTTCATATCTTTCGCCCATTTTTTAATTGGGTTATTTGTCTTTTTGTTGTTGAGGTTTTGCAGTATCTTGTAGATTTTAGAGATTAGACACTGATTGGATTTGTTGTAGCCAAAAATTTTTTCACAGTCTGTAGGTTGTCTTTTTACTCTTTTGGTGAAGTCTTTTGATGAGCGTATGTGTAGGATTTTTAGGAGGTCCCAGTTATCTAGTTTCTCTTCTGGTGCTTGTGTATTGTTACTTATGGTTTGTATTCTGTTTGTGCCATGTATTAGGAATCCTAGCATTGTCCCTATTTTTTCTTCTATGATCTTTATCGTTTTAGATTTTATATTTAGGTCTTTGATCCATTTTGAGTTAGATTTGTGCATGGGGTGAGGTATGGGTCTTGTTTCAGTTTTTTGCAGATGGATATCCAGTTATGGCAGCACCATTTGTTAAAGAGACTGTCTTTTCTCCAATTAATGGACTTTGAGCCTTTGTCAAATATCAGCTGCTCATAGGTGGATGAATTTACGTCTGGATTCTCAAATCTGTTCCATTGGTCTGTGTATCTGTTGCTGTACCAGTACCAGGCTGTTTTGACTACTGTGGCAGTATAATAGGTTCTAAAATCAGGTAGTGTGAGGCCTCCCACTTTGTTCTTCTTCAGTAATGCTTTACTTATTTGGGGCCTCTTCCCTTTCCATATGAAATTGGTGATTTGTTTCTCCATCTCATTAAAAAATACCGTTGGAATTTGAATCAGGATTGCATTGTATCTGTAGATCGCTTTGGGTAGAATTGACATTTTCACAATGTTGAGTCTTCCTATTCATGAGCAAGGTACGTTTTTCCACTTATGCAGGTCTCTTTTGGTTTCTTGCAGTAGTGTCTTGTAGTTTTCATTATATAGGTCTTTTACGTCTCTGGTTAGATTTATTCCCAAGTATGTTATCTTCTTGGGGGCTATTGTAAATGGTATGGATTTGGTGATTTCCTCTTCAAAGTTCTCTTTGTTGGTGTAGAAGAATCCAACTGATTTTTGTGTGTTTATTTTGTATCCTGATATTTTGCTGAAATCTTCTATTAGTTCCAGTAGTTTTCTTGAGGATTCTTTGGGGTTTCCTGTGTATAAGACCATATCATCTGCAAATAGACATACTTTGACTTCTTCCTTACCAATTTGGATGCACTTTATTTCTTTTTCTAGCCTAATTGCTCTGGCTAGGACCTCCAGCACAGTGTTGAATAAGAGTGGTGGTAAAGGGCATCCTTGTCTAATTCCTGTTCTCAAGCGGAATGCTTTCAAAGTCTCTCCATTTAGAATGCTGTTGGCTGTTGGCTTTGTATAAATGCCCTTAATTATGTTGAGGAATTTCTCTTCTATTCCTGTTTTGCTAAGACTTTATATCATGAATGGGTGTTGGACTTTGTCAAATGCCTTTTCTGCATCGATTGATAAGATCATGTGGTTCTTGTCTTTTGTTTTATTTATGGGATATATTACATTGTTTGTTTTTCTGTGTTGAACCATCCCTGCATACCTAGTATAAATCCCACTTGATCTTAGTGAATTATTTTTTTGATATGTTGTTGGATTCTGTTGACTAGAATTTTGTTGGGGATTTTTGTGTCTATGTTCATAAGAAATATTAACATGTAATTTTCTTTTTTTTGTGCTGTCTGTACCTAGTTTGGTATCAGTGTTATGCTGGCTTCATAGAATGATTTGGGAGTATTCCATCCTTTCCTTTGCTCTGAAATACCTTTAGTAGTAGTGGTGTTAACTCTTCTCTGAAAGTTTAGTAGAATTCTCCAGTGAAACCATCTGGGCCAGGGCTTCTTTGTTGTTGTTGTTGGGAGTTTTTAAACTACCTTTTCAATCTCTTATTTTGTTATAGGTTTACTTTGTTATTCTACCTCTGTTTGTGTTAGTTTAGGTAGGTAGTGAGTTTCTAGAAATTTGTCCATTTCCTCTAGGTTTTCAAATTTGTTAGAGTTTAATTTTTCATAGTATTCTGTTACAATTCTTTTAATTTCAGTTGAGTCTGTTGTGATATCACCCACCTCATTTCTTATTTGGGTTATTTGCTTCCTCTCCTGTTTTTCTTTTGTCAGTTTGGCCAATAGTTTATTGATTTTGTTGACCTTTCCAAAGAACCAGTTTTGCTCTTGTTAACTCTTTCAATTGTTTTTCTATTGTCT